TATATCGGTAATAACTTAAGTCTTTTTAACTCCGATTATTAATGTACTATTATTAATTATTATTCCGAATTACGCCCCCCAATTCCTACTATTTTCGAACGATAATAATTATTATTAAAAGCTATTAATAAATATATTAATATTAATTTACTAATTTTTATTACCCTTACTACCCTATTTACCCCCAAATTTAGGAATTATTGAAAAGTTATAAAACGACTAAATTAATAATATTAGTAAACCGCTATATAAGTGAAATATTAATCGCTCGTCGAGAATTAAATTTAGACCTTTATCCTTAATAGTATTAATTATTAACTGTTAACCGGGAAGTAAATTTATAAATTTAAGACTAGTCCTAATAGCGAGGTCCTTTATTATAAGGCTCGCTAAATAGTCCGTAGCTTTAAATAATAGGAAGGGATTAATTATAATAAAATATTTGCTTCGGTTATAAGGTTTATAAATTATGAATTTATTTTCACCTTCGCCGCTAGTTTCAATTTAAAATTAGAATAAATAAATGTTTAACCCGCTTTTCTTTATAATCTAATTAGGGAAGAGATTTATGTAGAATAGCCCCCCGGTATTATTAATAATAATAAAACCCTAATATATAAAACAAAGCGGGCCTTTATAATTTAAAATATAATTTATATATTTAGTATAATATATTTACTACCTTCCTCTATAATTTTAATTTCACCCCGCTACCCACTAATAAGGTTATTTTTAATAAAGGTATTACTTAGATCGCTATTTATATCGACAATCTATTTATTACCCGCCCTTCTAAATCTGACGTTTAAGCCCTAAAGGATATCCTTAATAAATAATTTAAAATAACCGATATAAGTCCGTATTCTTATTACTTAAATATCGTTATAATCCGTAATAGGCCAAATCGTACCTTTAAATTTAATTAAAAGGTTTTCCTTAAAAAGGTACTTGGCAATTTCAATATATTAAATTATAATATTATTTCTACCCCTATAGATAATTATAAAATCCCTAAGCGAGCCGACGATTTTAAAGCTTCTAATACCGATAAATATTAATATATTAATACTATCGGTTCCTTTATATATATAATGTTCGGTATATATTTGGATATTATTTTCGTAATATCCTTTTATAGTTAATACTTCGCTAAATTAACCTAATTTATATATTGATTATAAAATATATTTTTAAATACCTTCGTAGTACTTTTACCTTTTACTTTACTTATTCCGGCCTATTTTCTATTATTTTTACTAATTATTCAAATACTAATTAGGATAGTAATACCTTTATTAAACGCTTTATTAATAAGTATATATTCTATATTAATAGCGTAATTATTAATTAATAATTAAAATGCTAATAGACTATCGCCCTATTTATTTTACGAAGTAAAAGTTATAGTATAAATGTAGGTAGCTAAAGAGGTAATTTAATTTAAGAGATTACTATTAAACTTATCCTTTATAGTTAATTCCGCTATTATTATCCGCTATAATAATTACAGTATTATAGTTCTAATGAAGAACCTACAATATTATTCCTGTACGAAGTATGTTAATATCCAAAAAATATAATATAAGGAAGCGTAGGCTACTAGGAGCGTAAACTTCTAATAGGTAGCTACTAAAGAATAGGTTACTAATATCTTTATAAAAACTCTACCCCAAAGCATCTTTAAATAGTATTATTAGGCTTTAGGGTTATTAAAACCTTTTACCCTATTATTACTATTAAAGACCTATTAATACTTTTTTAATCCCTAACCGCCTATTTCCCCGTATATATTCACTAAACCTTTTATACGTAATAATTAATTCTTATACTATTTCTTTTATTTTTCGTTACTTTTATATTAAATTAATGCTTTACTTATAAATCCCATTCCCTCTAATTAAATATATATTTATATCGACAATTTAAATTATAATTTTCTAATTTCCGCGAAATTCCCTAATATAAAAAATTTTCAAAATCGACTTACAACTATCTGAATACCTTCTAGCCCTCGTATAACTTTATAAATATATTTATTTCAACCGTTATATTAAAACGAATCGATTAATATCGCTTACATAGGCTTACGACCTCTATATTAAAAGTTCTTACAATTTTTTTTTTTAACTCACTTTTTCATTTTTATTTTCAAAACTTATTATATTTATTATTATCTTACCGTCCTTATATTAACCCTTACAACGGTAATCCTTTTTCCTACTAAACTTTATTAATACTAACCGTATTAAGCGAGAGAGAAATATTTATAAATAACTTTACCTTTGCCGTTTTTAGCCCTCTTCACTTATTTTCTTATTATAGGGCAATTTATATTTGGATCGAGGGGGAGTGTTGAAGCTATTACTATGTCTTGGTATTCTTGGTATAGGGTTGATACAATCTATATACTTACCCTATATATAAGCTAGATTTCGTCTCCTTTCTTTATATTTCTCTTTCTCTCTCTTGAATCAATTAAGACATTTACCACCACTTTCGTCGTCTCTTACATTTATACGTGATCACCTCCTCCGTATGGTTCAACACACCGGAAGTTCAAAGTACGCGAAAGAAAAAAGAAGATACGTCTGGATCCTGAGTGTACAATAGAGGCGGCACATTGCACTACTGCTCAAGATACTTGGGACGAAGCTGAAACGAAGGAACGTATAGCTGGCTTAACAAGGAGAGATGAAATAAGAGAGGAATATGCATGAACACCCCATTTGAATAGGTTTCGAACAATAGGAGCTTTGATGGGGCTGAAGTCAGAGAGGAGGGACACCATATTCTCTTCCTCATTTTGAACCGCGGCTAAATCTTTCTCTCCTCCCTTCAACTTATTCATCAACCCTCACTCAACCAACTATCTCACTTTGCCTTGTCTTTGGCCTTTCCTCCTCAGTGCCTATCTACCAGTACGAAAGATCCCAAGCCAAGATGAATCAGGAAGTTCAGAACCAAGCAGCGCCAGGCCCAACTTATCGACGCGATTATCGCGACACGCCCGTTCATGACTCGCGAAGACCTCGAGGAGGAGTTCACAATGTGGGATATCGAAGAGTACCAGCTTTTGACTGCCTCGGGTCTTCTTGATCCGCTGCTCAGAGCTCACGAAGGCGACGACAACGAGACCCGTGACCAAAGGGTCTAAGACTTTCTGAAGGAGTTGCGGATGTGGAGGAAGTTTTGTAAGTAGCAGATGAGGTCATGAGACTGAGTGGCAAAGAACAGGAGGTTGTGAAGAGGTACTAACGATATATACCTACCTTAGTATACCATGGCATCAGCCCGAACATGCTCGGCGGCAACGCTGGCCACGAGGACCCGAGAATTGCGGAGCTCAGAGCCCGCATCACTGAGCTCGAGAACGAAAACACCACGCTGAGAGCCGAGTTAGCCAACAAGGATGCGGAGCTAGAAGATGCTCGCGTCCAGATTGAGACCAAGGAGGCAGAGCAGGCGGCCAAGGTGGAGGAACTCGCCGCGCAAGCGGACATTTTGGCCAAAAACGCTGGAGCAGTGGAACACCAGGCTATATTTATCAAGCTACGCCGGGAAGTCGGAAGGATAGACGTGGAAGACATGGACAATGCCTATGAGTTGTTGGGAAAGGCTGTGGAGGGCGTGAACGCCGCTGCCGCATGGTTTGCGGACGAAGCGGGCGCGCCTGGCGCTGAACCTGTGGAGCTCGAATGAATGAAGGGCATCCAGCTTACGGTGGACTTTTGGTAGGCGGTTGATTGCAGGCACGGGCGTGGTGTGTGTGTGCTTCGCGGTAGAAGCAGGAGTCGGAGTTGGCAGGTTGATGGCACATGAGGCGTCAAGGATTTGGGTGGAATGGTTTTTTCTGCTTCAGCTCTCGTTGTTTCAGTTCGGAGTTAAGATGGAAATTGGCATTGCAGGTGGTTGAGCCTGCCGGTGGTGTGTGCGTTAAAAGCAGTTCTTGCAGCTAAAAGCAATTCTCACCGCTCTGTTACGCCCTTCGTTCCTTCCTTTCTTCATCTCCTTCACGTGATAGTTCTATTTGGTACCCCTCGCAAAGCAGCGACAACTCAGAAGTCCACAGCCACTCTCCAACACTGGAAATCTCGATTTACACACCCAAAGTTGCTCAAAAATGAAGGAGAAGAGTCACATTTGGAAACGCCTGCCGCCAAAAGGCCTGACACCAAGGAAAGGGTCTTTCTCTTCGGAGTAGTCATGTCTTTCTTACCACCTCCATGTCATTTATCAAATCCACTCTGTGACATATTTCAGTACTAGTGTACCTACCTGGAATTGAAAAGCTCCCAACATGCCAGGCACCGTACCTACCTACAAAGGTGAGTGAAGTGACCTGTGACTTTCCACCACTTTCTCTTTACATAGCTCTTGCTTCCACCCACCAATTTTCTCTTAATGTTGACACTGCTGCCTGCCTGGCAGATTGTGGGTCACGGTCACCCTGTTGTGCAAAGCACCTCCGCCTCAGCTTTGTTCGTTTGGTAGATGGATTTCGTAGCTTAGCCACTCCTTGAGACTTACCACTTCCTCAATCCATCACCAGTTTCCAGCATCTAGGATCAGCTTCACGGCTTCAATACTTAACAGACTTCATCATCACCCAGCTAGGTAATCTTTCCTTGTCTCCTGGCCCCAGGTGCTAACTTCTTCGCTATTCCATTGCAACCGCAACCCGAGCCTCTACCGAAAGCTCAAGAATTTAACCTAAGCTTCATGACACAAAGAGAACTGGAGGCTAACCGGAGAACAGTTTCACAAGTCGCCATCGCCAACACCGGCCTACAGAATACGCTTCTCCCACTTGACAACTCGGAGCGGAAGACTCTACCGGCATACCTTCAAAGTGGAAGCGAAAACGTAACGATCCGAAGCAAGTCCGTAAAACGCCACAAAAAACCTCTCGCGAAGATTCACCAGTTGTTAGGGGCCCCGATACCTCGACCGAAGGGATCGCAACAGGAAAGAGACTGAATACATCGGGGAAAGGCTGTCCAATGGCCACGCATCCCCATGGCCGTGAGGTCGAGAATACCCTGGACAATGGATCAGCGGCCAAGGCCGAGAAGCCCGCTGAGCTTGAAGCAACTCACGACCATCCTCAAGGAGAACTGGTTACAAATCAAGATTCCTCCGCCTTGATTGCAGAGAACCAAAGGCTGAAAGCCAAGATCCAGGAGTTGTTGAAAGAACTCGAGATACAGCTTGACAATGAAGCTCGTAACTACAAGAGACTGGCCGAGATTCGTCAAAATCACACAGAGATTGAGCAAAGCCAGGCTGCTGAGCGACAAGCCGCAACGGAGAGGATTGCAATGCTGGAGGCCGAGTGTAACTTCTTGAGAGACGATAATAAGCAGATGGATATCAATCACCGTGATGCATTGTCAGCATTGGACAAATGGAAGGATCGCTACCATGACCAGCAACAAAATATGAGGGTGCTTCGAGGAAAAAGCGAGTGGTTGGAGGACCAACTGAACATTGCTCAGCACGACTTGACAACTACAAAAACCGATGAAGCCCGCATTGCTGTCTCGGAGAGACAGGCTGTTACCGAAGAGCTCACCGAACTCAAACAAGAGTGTAAGCAGCTGAAGGATCAGCTAACTGCCACACGAAACGAACGCAATTCTGAGCAACAGGCCGCAAACAACAAGATCAGCGAGGTGTCGAAGGAGTGTGGTCGGTTGAGAAAACAGATCGATACCATACAGAGCGAGTTGGCCGCAAAAGTCGAAGAAGCCCGTGAAGCCGAGACATGGAGAGAGGCCGCAACTCGGAGGGCTGCCAAAATCGAAGAAGAACGTGAAAAGCTGAAAGAACAGGTGGCCACAGCCCAAGGAGAATTAACCACTCAGGCCAAGAAAGTTTTTGAAGCCGAGGTCAAGAAGAAAGCTGACGCCAGGAGAGTTACGGAGCTCGAGGAAGAGTGTAAATGGTGGAAGAAGGAGTTATACAACTGTAAAAACCAGTTAGACGTGGAAGGCGTATCCAAAGCGGCTTTTGGCGCCAGATTGGAGCAAGCGTCAAAGCGAATCAGAGAGTTCGAGGAAGAGTGTAATCGGCTGAAGGAGAAAATGACTGCCGACACGAAAAATGCGTCCGACCAAATCTCCGAGCTCAAGATAGAATGCCAAATGCACAGGAGGCGGGCCACCGATCTCGAACAGGAATGCCTTGGCTACAAGAAGCAAGTTGCCATCATTGAATGTCAACTAGAGACAGCTATTGAGGAACGAAGTCAGGAACGGGTGGCAACAGCTGAGAGAAAGTTGGCTACCAAGACCGCAGAAGCTCATGAGGCCAACGTTAACCTACAGGCTGCCGGCAAGAGAGTCAACGAGCTTGAAAGATGGCATTGGAAGCGCTCGGACAACGAGATGTCTGCTCTTAAAGAACAGGTGGCAACGGCTGAGGGACAGTTGGCCACCAAGACCGAGGAAGCTCATGAGGCCAACGTCAAATTGAAGGATGCCGTCAAGAGAATCCACGAGCTTGAAATAATGTCGAAACGCACGGAGACAGAGATCTCTACTCAAAAAACCCTGTTGTCTTTAGCAACGGCAGCCAAAGCAGCTCGTACCACCAAACTGGAGCAAGCATCCAAGCAAATCAGGGAGCTGCAAGAACAGAATGAACATCTCCGGAAGGAACAGACTGAAACTGCTGCCGAGAAAAATCAAGCGTTAGACCAAGTTGCGAAGCTCAAGAAGGAATGCCGCCTCTACAAGGAGCAGGCCAACAAGGTCGAAGAGGAGCTATAACGAGTAGGCCACCAGACTCTAACAGGAATGCGTTGGTCAGCAGAAGCGTATTGCCACCGTTGAAAGCCAACTAAGCATAGCGATTGACTTGGAGAAGCGAAGTCATGAAGCGGAAAAGCAAGTGAAGGGATTGTCACAAAAGATCGCTGAGCTCGAAGAGGAATGTCGTCAGTACTGTCTTACCGAAACCAATGAGAGCGACATGGCTATGGTGAGGATAAGGCCCGACGCGTTTAGAGCAACGGAGGAGTTGGCAGCTCTTCGAGACGCTGTCCACAATGGATTGAGCAAAAAAGCGAAGGCGGTTAGCATGACTTGTAAGGCTATCCGGATCAGCTTTGAAGGGCAATCAAATGCAGGGGCAGGCGTGGTTTCGGCACTTCCGATGCTTTGGCATGCGGTGTCCGAGCTGGATATGGCCGTTGAGGAGGTTATGGAGCGGTTGGCATGCTTAACTAGAGGGACTATGGGGTAACTGCTAACGGACTTAATGTGGTAGAATAAAACAGTGTTATAAGTACCTCTTAATGCTGTAACACGTGCAACAGAAGTGCGTTGGTGATGGAAGATAGCAATATAACATTTTTTGGTCTTTGACGTGCATGTGAGACTGTGAGTATTTCATCTCTAGTGTACCTATGATCTTGACCACAAATAGCGGCAATAACAGCCGCCACATGTCAAGTGGTTGTCTTCCACGTTTAGAAAAAAGGTAAACAAAGCAACTTCGTTAAATACTTTACGAAAAGCACTCCCCCTGAACTGGATAGAGGTGTCGACCGGACTCTGTGATTACCTTCTAACCACCCGGCATTTGGGTTTGCACTTAATGCTTCATACATCTCAAAATCAGGGTAGAAACCCGAGTAGGGTACCTAGAACTAGTCTATGTCCAAGGAGAAAATCCACACTTAACCCAAATTGACAGCACGATTCTACTTGCAGCATACTATGACAAACAACTTCGTGTGACGAACCGTTACAAGCACAGGAGTATATCGCTGGGATAATAAGAATAACGGTAGTAGTAGCCAAAAGGTACTGATCGATTGTGAAAGCTATTGCTTGCTGAAGAGCCAGTATATAAAGAGGCCTGGGAAGGCCGTCTTTATATACCGGCCTTCATGGACCCGATATACTGGACCCGTGGACCCGAACATTCATCTCGGGTCCCCGGGGACCCGAGCCATGGACCCGGAGCTTCGGGTCCTCCCTTCGGGTCCAACCTGATTGGTCTGTTGGTTCTATCTGATCTAGCTTACATAGGTGATCTCTGATTGGATCGTAACACGATGCCCCCCTCTCTGTGGCTTTGTCCTCAAACGCCACGATACTACCTTGGCATGTGATTGATAACCGCCGTCCCTTGTTGCGTTGCTTGGGTGCCAACAAGCCTGTTGATCGTAACCTTAATGCCTGCCGTCTCCCTTCTCCCTGATCTCTTGCTTCCTCATCTTTCATAACCCTGTGTGATCCAGAACTTGGTGAGTCTCCTTTCTTTCCTTCACCCATCAATTTATCATGGCCCGATCTCGCATTGCTCGTCCCAAGCGTTCTGCTCAGAAGGGAGCCGCTACTAAGGCTCTTGCAGTCTTAGTCGAAGATTCCGGTGAAACCCTCGATATGCCGTGCAGCAATTGTTTCCGACACAATCGCACTTGTGTCGTTGATCTGTCGAAGTCGAATTCCTGCAGCGAATGTGTTCGTCGCAAGACCGCTTGTGATGGTCAGGATATCACTAGACGTCGTGAGCGTGCCCTGCCGCCTTTGGGGTTCTCCCTTATACTGATTGTCGTAGTTTATAAGTCTATGAAGGAGTCCAAGCGTCTGGAGGCAGAGGAGGATAAGCTGGTACGCAGCTCAGTGGAGATCCAGTCGCGTCTGCTGCGTGTTCGTGAGCAGAGGCGTCATCTCCAGAAGAGGCAGAAGGAGATGTTTGATCGTGGGATGGCGGATTTGGCGGAGGAGCTGGGGGACAACGATCCGCTTGTTTCCGAGGAGTCGACTACTTCCGAGCCTGGCGTTGCTTTGCCCGAGGTTGGTTTTGACGAGTGGGCGCAGGAGCAGGGGCTTGATCTCCCTGAGATTTTGTCGCCTGATCCTTTGTCGCCTGAGGTGGCTGGGGTCGGTCAGGAAACCGCCGGTGAAAGCTCTCGATCTCGCCCTTCAGGTTGACGAGGTTCTCTGGGGGTTCCCATGTATTGCTTTCGTGGCCGTAGCCTTGCCACTTGATTAGGTATTCGATGTTGCCAGTGTTGTCATTGATTTTTGAGTCCAGGATGGCTTCCGTTAGGTATTCATCTCCGTCATTCCAAGTTTGAACGTTCTTGTCGAGTCTTGCGTTCCTAGGTGCTGGTTCTAGTAGTGAGACGTGGAAGGTAGGCCATTGTCGCATGCCCTTGGGGAGTTCGAGTCGGTAGTTGCTGGTGCTGACTTTCTCGATTACCTTGAATGGTCCCAGTTTCTTGTAGTCAAGCTTATCACTGGGCCGTTTGGTCTTGATATTACGGCGAAGTAGGTAGACTTTGTCTCCCCTCCTGAAGGTCGGCGCCGACGACCTCGTGCGGTCGTAATATCGATTCATTCTTTCGCGAACAAAGGTGAGCTCGTCTCTCAGGGCTTGGTGCATTTCGGTAAGTCGTTCTGCCCTGATGTGGGCCCTGGGTACGACCGTCTCTGAATCCCAACCCCTACGGGAGCTCATCTCATAACCGTAGTTGGCAAAGAATGGTGTGACCTTCGTGGTCTCGGTCTTGGAGCTGTTGTATGACATTTGAGCAGTGGGTAGTAGCTCTGTCCAGTTGTCCTGCTCGTAATTGACGTACGCTCGCAGGTATGCTTCCAAGACCTGGTTCATTCGTTCTGTTTGCCCGTCCGTCCTAGCATGGTATGCGGTGGACATCTTGTGCTTCACGCCAAGTTTGTTCATGAATGCTTGCCAGTATCGTGACGAGAAAAGCTTGTCCCTGTCTGTCACGAGTTCCTTTGGCCAGCCATGATTGGAGGTAATGTACCGCATGAAGATATGTCCGAGTTGTTCCGCATTGGTATCTTCCCTGAACGGTAAGAAGTAGGCGAACTTCGTGAATCTGTCGACAACAACCATGATGCTGTCATACTCGATGCCAGTGGCTGGGTCTCGTGACATGGGGAGCTTCGTGATGAAGTCCATAGTTACTGATTGCCATGGCGCTTCTGACACTGGGAGTGGCTCGAGTAAGCCATAAGGCTTGTGCCTATTGGCTTTGGTTTTGTGACAGATTTCACAGTCGTGCAGAACCTCTGTAACGACATCCTTCATCTTAGCGAATCCGAATGTCTCCTGTACCCTGGCTATCGTGCGTGCGATGCCAGCGTGTCCTCCTTCTTCAGGGGACTCATGAATATCTTTCACCAGCTCTTTCTGCAATGACGGGGGTACCCACAGCTTGCCTTTATGAAGCCACGGCTCGATCGAGGTTGACAGATGTTTTTGGACTTCCTCGTCATCTACTTCATGTTGTGCCTCGGTGATTCGTTGGATCCAGTCGTCTGGATCCACCCTGGCAATGTTGATGTTGTAGATGTCGAGTTCATCCTCGTCGAGGTCGTGAATGGGTAGTGGCTTGTGCGCTAGGGAACCATCATTGTTGGTTTTGAATAAGGCTGGTGAGGCCGTGCCTTCGGTTTTGGCTCGAAGGTCTTCTCGTCTGCTCAGGGCGTCGGCCCGTGCGTTCTCAGATCCCTTACGGTAATGGATGTGGAAGTTGAATTGCGACAGGAATTCTGACCAACGGGTTTGCCTCTGGTTGAGTTCTTTACTCGTGGTGAAGTACGTCAAGTTCTTGTGGTCGGAGTAGACCTTGACTTCGTACTTTGTGCCACTCAACCATGGTTTCCATTCTTTAAATGCCCAGATGATGGACATGAGCTCTTTGTCGTGTGTCGGGTAGTTGAGCTCAGGTCCTCTGAATGCCTTCGAGTAGAATGCAATGGGGTGCAATCTTCCCTGGTCATCTCGTTGACCAAGTTGGCCACCCATTGCCCAGTCAGATGCGTCGGTTTCAACCTCAAATTCTTTATCGGGATCGGGGAGAATGAGAATCGGGTCGTCCATGATCATCTGCTTCAGGGTGTTGAAGGCATCGTCGCACTCCTTTGACCATACGAATACGGTGTCTTTCTTGGTCAAATCGTTGAGTGGCTTGGCTATGCCTCCGAATCCCTTGATGAAGCGTCGGTAGAAGTTGACAAATCCCAGGAATCCTCTGACGCCGGTTACTGAAGTGGGCGCTGGCCATTCGGCGACGTCCTTGATCTTAGAGGGATCCATGCGGATTTGGCCTGGGGAAATACGATATCCCAGGAAGTCCACTTGACTGACATGGAATTCACTCTTCTTGGGGTTGACTGAGAGTCCTGCCTTTTCAAGCGCGGCGAGGACCTTGTGAACGTGTTTCTGATGTTCTTCCTCTGTCTCAGAGAACACAATGATATCGTCAATGTAAGCCATCACGAATTCGCCTGCGAATTGTCTGAGCACGGCGTCGATTCTGGCTTGGAAGGAAGCAGGTGCGTTGGTTAGGCCCTGGGGCATGATGCGGTATTCGTAATGCCCTAGTGGTGTCCTGAACGCTGTCTTCCACTCTTCTCCTTTCTTCATACGAATCTGGGAGAAGGCTGAGGTGAGATCAAATTTGGAAAATATCGTGGCCTTTCCAAGTCTGTCTCGCATCTCTTGGATCAACGGCAAAGGGTATCGATTCTTGATGGTGTCGTTGTTGAGATGCCGGTAGTCGATTACGAGACGAAGTTCTCCGTCTTTCTTTGGTACAAAGAGGATAGGAGAACCGTAGGGTGACTGGGATTCACGGATGTGGCCCAGCTTGAGTCTCTCATCCACATACTCCTTGAGCGCCTTCATCTGAGCAGCGTTGAGCTGGTAGATCTTTTGGTATTTAGGTTTGGCGCCTTCTTTCAAGGGTATCTCATGGTCCCAAGGACCGTGTGCTGGTAAAGTGCACTCAGACGATTCCTTGAAGATCTTGTATCCTCGATACTGCAGAGGAACGTCTTTGAGCTTATCTTTGTTGTCTTTGGGCGGAGGTTCAGGTGGTGGTGCTTCCGCCTCAAAGTTGCTGATGAACATGACCATTCTTGATGGTTCTGATGGTGGCGGAGTCTCGTGTGACGAAGGGTGCCGATCCTTTCTATCAGTGACTGAGACTTCAATATCTGGAGCTTTAAGGAGCGCCTTCTTGCGATCCCTGATGCGGCCGCTGCTCCAGTCAATGTCGGGGTTGTATTTTCTCAACCAAGGTCTACCCAGTATGGCGTCGTGTTTACCAATGGGGGTGATGTCAAAGACGATCTCTTGTTTGTCGCCGTTAATCGTGACCTTCATAGGTGCTGTTTCCCTTAGCACCTGGCCCTGTTCGTAACTCGGGCTCTTTCCTTCAAATGTGTACACTCGATAGGGTCGTTTCTTGTAGACCCATGGTATCTTCCAGTCGTTCACGACCTGGGGTGTAATAAGGTTGATTGACGATCCTGAGTCAATCATGGCCATTGCCTTTCCTTGGAATGGCTTGGTCCAATCCATCTGGACCTGATAAATCGAGTCCTCATCTCGATTTATCTCGAGGACTTGTGGCGGGTCAGCTACTCGTGGTCCTCTCGCGAGGAGCTGGCGCCATTTCCCTGTCTTCTGCGGCCACCGCGAGCACGGCGTTTCCTCTGGGACTTCGATTTAGACGAAGATCCACTGGCCGTCTCGCTGGTGCTAGAAGATGCTGCTACTGCTGTTTCCTCCTTACGCTGAGTGCGCTGGAATGCCCTTTCTTCACGCATGGCTTGTCTTGAATGCCATTGTCGTGCTTTGTCGGCCATGTGGACTGCGCAATTGATTTTGCAACAGTCCTGGTATCTGGTGTGGGGAGATTCCATGCATTCACGCGTATACCCATCCTTCAAGACGAGTCTCATGAGTCGGCCGCCTCCATCGCGTTTGCGGGGTGTGCAAGTGTCCCACATGCTAATAGAGTCTTTATGATGGGCGGTTCGTACTGGTATTGGGACATCGTTTTCCCAAACGCGTTGGGGGAAGTGGTCGTGTTCCATCTTGTATGACAAATGCCATGGGCAAGCGTCATATAAGCATTGGATCCAGGCGATTTTCCCGTGAGATGGGTGGCCTGGGTGGACCTGGGGGTGGTCTCCTGCTTGGGGTGACCAAGGGCGATCACACACGGTGTAGACATTGGCCTCGAACGCGGTCACTCCAATGGATTGGAATGATTGTCGTGGAGGGTATGGCTCGATGAAGGAGTCATCGTCGATGGGACCCGCATAGAATTCTGTCTGAATCTGACGGTTGTACTTCTCGTCCAGATTGAACTTGTGGGTCCACTTGCTGTCTCGAGTGATTTTCTTCTTGAGGCCCTGCAATGAGGCCTGGATGAGGGCGATGAGTTCTTCCGGTTTCTTTTGGGAGTCCTTGAAGGTGTCCTCATAGTCCCATCTATCTTGCCGATGGATGTGACGCCGCTGGCGGTTATAGGCGAGTTGTTGGATCTCCAGTTCCTTGATTCTGGTCTGATTGACGTCCGCCAAACGGTTGAGGTAGGCTAACTGGGCCTGTAGTTCCTCGTTGCGATCCATCTGATCCGTCGTGTCCGTGTCTGATCCTGACCTTATAGCATCAGGGAGGTCAGTATGAACGGTAGGTTCCTCGCGTTCAACGGTAGCGAGTGGCCTTTCTTCGCGTTCTTCGAAGGTGTTGGCAAGCGGTGCGCGTAGCGTAGGTGGAACGGAATGGCTGTGAGACGGGGCTTTATTTTCTTTATTAATGTCGTTGCCCCGGATGTATTCTTCGTGGTCACTTTCATCCCTGTATGCCTGTTCATATTGATCGTATTCTTCGATCGTCATATCATCGGTCGGTTCGTTGATCCCGTCGAAGTCCACCATGGCGATGGTGCGGGGAGGCTCGTCATTGTCAACGAGGGCAGCGAGGGCGTTGGCAAAATCGTAGTCGATCTCGATGTTGTCGACCTCCTGGTTCCTGCCCTTGCTCTTTCCCTTGCTAACAGAGTTGGTGGAGTGAGTGGGAACTGGCTTCCAGCTTCCTTGGCGGCGATTGTTGTTGTTATTGCCGCCACTGCGACAGTCGCGGGCAAAGTGTCCTGGCTTGTCGCACTTGAAGCATTTCTTGTCCTTGCTAGGGCCGCCGCCGTTCTTGCGGTTCTCAACGGCATCCACGTCCATGGGGCCTGAGTGGGTGCCGTACGCGGTGCTGCGCGTCTTGTTGTTGTAGCTGTTGCCTCCGCGCTGATACTTGTAGCCAGTGTTGGCGGGGGCGCGAGGACGGCTGTCACCGGCGCCCTTCTCTTTCTTGCGTTCGAAAAGGCGGTTATCGATGACGATGGCCTCGTTCATGTATTCGTCGAGGCTCTTCGACTTGCGGTCGATCTTAATGAGCTCGTCCTTGACGTCGCTCTTCAGACCACGGTAGAACTGATACTTGAGACCTTCGTCATTCCAATCGACGCGGAAGGCAAGCTGTCTGAACTCAGCCGCGTAAGAGGCGGCTGACTTGGTTTGACGAAGCTCGTTTAGCTTGGTTTCAGCCTGGCGGACCTTGTCGGCGAGACCAAAGACCTGGTTGATGGAGCTTTCGAAGTATTCGAAGTCGTTGAAGGTCTTCTGGGTCTCGATGTGCATCTCGGTCCAGATGTTGTGGCCGAGGTAGTCCGCTTGGGTGGGCTGGAACCATTCGAGGGCCTTGCCAGTGAGAAATGACGAGGCGTACAGGACTTGCTGGATAGGATCCACGACTTTGGTAAAAGCGAGGTTGGCGCGGACCTGGGTAAGAAATCCCTGTAGGTCCTCCTTCCTGGTGCCATCGAACTTGGGGGGAGGGTTGAGCTTGATGGTGCTTCCCATAGCGGGGGAGACTGCGGTTGGATGAACAGAAGCAGCCTCGAGGTCGCTGATCTTAGTGCGAAGCATGTTGATGATGTCGCGAAGCTCAGTGTCGTTGGTCTCATTGGTGATGGCGGGGACAAGGGTAGTCCTGCGGTTTTGAGCATTCTCTCTGGCGAGAAGCTCGGCTGCCTTGACTTCTCTGCCGTCGTCGTCCACAATACCGGTCATGGTATCAGTGCTAAGACCAGGGTCTCTGGTCGCGGTACCCGGGGTGCCAGCCCCAGCGGGTCCTCCAGCAGCTGGTTTGCCAGTCGGGATTCCAGACATGATGACGGTGAAGAGGTAAGGTAATGGGGTTTTGAGGAAACTTGATTGTTTGAGGAAACGTTTTGGGTGCAGCAGCAAATCCCAGAATACTAGTGTGCAAATTGATGAGCAAGCAACGTGTGACGAACCGTTACAAGCACAGGAGTATATCGCTGGGATAATAAGAATAACGGTAGTAGTAGCCAAAAGGTACTGATCGATTGTGAAAGCTATTGCTTGCTGAAGAGCCAGTATATAAAGAGGCCTGGGAAGGCCGTCTTTATATACCGGCCTTCATGGACCCGATATACTGGACCCGTGGACCCGAACATTCATCTCGGGTCCCCGGGGACCCGAGCCATGGACCCGGAGCTTCGGGTCCTCCCTTCGGGTCCAACCTGATTGGTCTGTTGGTTCTATCTGATCTAGCTTACATAGGTGATCTCTGATTGGATCGTAACACTTCGTTCCCAATAGGTTAGAGAAAGCTTACCTGCACCCATACTCTTTCCTAGAGGTACCCGTACAGGTAGTTCTGAGATGTCCTCAATCTTTCTACCACACCACCCCTTTGTACACACCAAATCTATACCTACCTAGTTGATGGTCTTTTTCGGTTCTTTTATCCGTTCAATGGTTTTGTCAAACTACGAGACTATTAAAGGGTTTGAGGGTGGCACTTCCGAGTACGTTACAAGAAGTAACACTGTTAATGTAATTTACCTGTTTCTTGAGGAGTTCGGCCCCATGGCATCGGAGATGTTACCTTTAGACAAGGCAGAGAAGTTGGTAGCGAAGGGCAGGCAGAGGCCGGCGGCGCGGATTGTAGGCATAGAGGAATACATCTTAGTTCCCTTCGACATCTACGAGGCACTATCCCAGGTCACTGTCATATAGATTTTCAATATATTCCCGCCAGTCCGTGCCGAGTTCATCCGCATGGTGGCGCCTCTGTCTCATGGCAATCAGGGAAAGAAGAGGGCTTCAGGCAAGAAAGGCACGAGGCAGGGCTTGACATTGGGGCAGGGAGATGTTCGAATCGGTTTTTGTAGTGAGGGGCAGCTAATGCAACCTCGGGATGTTGCCGTGAAGGCCGAAATCAACAATCCATTTTGCCATTGTTTTATTTTAAACATCCACTAATATAACTGATTTGAATGCATGTTGGCCAAAAAGGTTAGCGAGGGTATACCCTACAGGTACCGTAGCGGGAAAATGTGCAGGGGAATAGGCCTTTTTAGCCTTACTAAGGCTATGTAGCTTTATAAGTGGAATAAGGCATGTTGAGTTAATAAGGTATGTTGAATTTATAGGGCTTATTGGTCTGGGGGAGGCTCCTAATTGGTTAATCGACTTTGGTCTAGATGTGCGCTATAAATAGTTATTAAAGGTCTTAAGTATAGTATATTATTTTAGCGATTGCTTTACGGAGTGTACGAACCTTTTATAATAATTATTATAATTAATCGCTAGATTTATACGTTTAACGACCCTAGCGGTTATTATAAAAGGTTTTATATTCTACGACGAATTACCAAGATAATACGCTATATGTAATTAATTAGGAGTATACAAATAGACTGTATACGATATTGCGAAATATTTTAATTATTATAATATATTGATATTATATTCTTTAATTTGTATATTACGATATTACTGGTAAATGGGAAATAAATTGGATAATCCGTTTTTTTTTCTATATTTTTCTTTTTGCTTTTCTCGAGGTATAGTCGGGGTTAGTAATGTTGAGGGAGAGAATTCGAGGATTGGTTAATAAAGTTCAATTAACCTTTTGTATCCCTATAACGAAAATAAAGTCATATACTTGCGCGTTAATACGTATTGGCTACTTTCTTTGTTAAAGTATATTATTTGGATATAATTAATAATTGATTTCTTTTAAGAAGTCATTCGGATATAGTTAATAACGGGATACGTTACTTATACAATTATTATTATTAGTAGTAATTAGTATAGTAATGGGTAAAGTGTTTAATAATAAGCTTAGACGGATTGGTTGAGCCGTTATTAGTTAATAAATTGTTTATATTATAAATATTATATTTGTAATATTAGTCCTTAAATTCTAGGAATCTATTACGTCTACGGCGACGGTTTCTACGTATAGAATTAATATTACTACTAGCGTAATTAGGAGTAGGCGTGTTAGTAGCGCCGGTTAATATATTAATTGTAGCGTCCGATATATTACTAGATATAGAGTTACGATAGGTTTGGGACTATATAAATATATAGTTTGGGGTAGTAGTAGTAGTATTGGGGGTAGTAATTTGTACGGTACGCGATATTAATTTCGTCGATATAGTATAGCCGAGAGGGGCTTAATTCGATATTAAGCGGGTTTGTAATATAATTGTAGTAGTTGCGAATATCAGCTTCTTGCGTAGAGTTTGTGCTTTTTTTAGCACTTTATTGGCTGCCGATATTTTATTAGTTGTTATTACTTTGATTGATAGTAGATTAGTAGGCTTATAAGGATTGAGTCGATGGGTAAATTATTGAATTTTAGTTAGCGAATAGAAGATTGGCGAATTAGTAGGTGGCGGCGATAATAGAGAAGATAGCTCTTTAGCCTTTATAATTTTTTCTTATTATTTTTTAAGTATAATTTAATAGTCGGCCTTTTTTGCTGTGATAAGTAGTTTCTTTTATTTCCTTTCATTATTTTTTAAGGGCATTTTCCTCTTATTACTTTTTAAGGTGGTTAATTTTTTCTTTTTTAATACGAGTAGCCTTATTTTCCTTTTACTATTTTTTAAGTATAACTTCCTTTTACTATTATTTAAAGCGATTAATTTTCTCCTTTTTAAAACGAGTAGCCTCTTTTTCTTCGGCCTCTTTCTTATGATGAACAATTTCCTTTACCTCCTTTTATTATTTTTTGAGGGTATTCTCCTCTTATTGCTTTTTAAGGCAGTCGGCTTCTTTTTGTATAGTTTGGCGGTCGGCTTCCTTCTACGTGTCTTCCTCTTGCTATTTTTTTAAACGGTTGGCTTCTTTTTATATAGTTTGGCGGTCGGTTTGTTTTTACGTATCCTCCTCTTGCTACTTCTTCAAACGGTCGGCTTCCTTTTACGCATTCTCCTTTTATTGCTTCTTTAGACGGTCGGCTTCCTTTTGTGCAGTTTAGCGGCCGGCTTGCTTTTACGTATCTTCTTCTTATTGCTTCTTAAGGGCGGCAGCTTGGCGATCAACTTCTTCCTTTTACTATTTCTTTTTATAAGCTTCCTACTACTATTTCTTGAAGGCGTTTTATTGCTTTTTAATGAGAGTTTAGCGGTCGGTTTCCTTTTATGTATCCTCTTACTACTTTTTACGACGAGTAGTTTCTTCTTTATTGATACGAGCAATTTCTTTATTTAGTTACTTCTTGCGGGCGGCCTTCTTGCGCTCTTCGTACTCCTTTTCCCGGCGAGTAGCTTCGTTATATCGATTGACCTCCTTATTATTAACGTTTATAGGATCCGAATTTTTAATAGTTATATTAACGATTAGAGGGATGATAGGGCCCGCTTTATTTGATTCGTTTAATACTTTTATATCGCTAAGGCTAATAGTTTATTTTATTTCGTTAATATTAATGTTTATAGTTTTGTTGAGGTTATTAATCTTATTAAATGCTATTTGTACTAATTTCTCTAAATTTGCGAGTATTATATACTATGTATTTAGTT